CGCTCGAGCATTGGAGAGAGCGAACACGAAGAGAAATTAATTAGTAGCACAAAATAGTCAGATCACACACAATTTTGGAAGACTGAACAGACCTTGCACTGACAAAACCATCACAAAACCATAGCACAAGGTTTTTTTTTTTTTTTTTTTTTTTTTTTTTTTTTTTTTTTTAATTTAAAACAGCCTTTCGAGCGAAGTCTATACACCAGCTTCTACAACAACATCTATACACCTGCCTTTTTTTTTGTTTTGTTTTTAACCACCAGTACACGGCCCCAGACTTGCTTTTCTCGGACACCCAGCACCATAGATAAATCCAATTGGCGGCGGGCGGTCTCCGAAAAGGACCCGCCGCTGATAGCTGGATGGACTGGTGGTTCAAGGGAAAGAAATGGACCATTTTTTTGGATTTATGCGTGCCATCCTTGCGCAGGGGCCAGCAGTCTTTTTCTTAGCCGGCAGTGTCTATAGACTACAAAGGCTTTCATGCAATGTCTATAACGCAATGTATACACACACACGGATACATAAATGTATCTGACCTTACACATGGTAGGGATGCATAAGCACAACTTGTACAGGAATTAGCTGTCCTGTCGAGGAACAAGGGGGATAGGGGAGGGGGCAATGGAGGGCGGAGGAGAGGAGAGGGGAGGAGAGGAGAGGGGAGGAGAGGAGAGGGGAGGGGAGGGGAGGAGAGGAGAGGAGAGGAGGAGGGAGGAGGAGAGGAGAAGGGGAGGGAGGGGCATCGACAAGGATTCAGGACTTGTACGGAAATAAACTTGAACAGATGGATGCGTTTGACAGCTGGACCCCCAACTCCTCTGTGAAAACAATATCATTCTCTTTTTCTTCTCTGAAACCTGATAACCTGCCACCCTGCCTCTTTTTGTTGTTGTGGAAGCCAGACTCCGGACACGCGGGGGGTTACTGCCGCCGCTATTGGTTGCCCCAACACTCCCTTATGCTTTGTACGACCACCTCCCTGCCCATCCTCTCGGCGATTCCCCTAGCCGCCTAGCGCACCCCTATCCCTACTATCCTACCTCACTATTGAGTACTTTGTGGCCTTCGAATATCAACAAACATACCAATGGGAAAAGTCGAATTGTACACTTTCAACGAACAGGTCATGTCACTTTCCTCGGTGATATGCGGAAACTATCACCATGCTATTTCAGAGGGCGACTTGGACAGCGCTGCCTCAGGGACATGCGTTGATATAAGTAGTTGATTTTTTTTTCCCCCCCCTCTATTTTGGGACAATTTCTCGATGTATGCATACCATTCTTTGTTTCATTTTTCATGCGAAAAAGTCGAAAAAACCTTTATAATACAAGTCGGGAAATGAACACCGCGTCCTTTACAAAAATCGGGTGGGGCCCTTGGTGGGCAAGGCATCACGGGCCGAGCTCGTCTAGGGAACTGCATTGAACCACAGGGGCCATGGGAATCCATCTCCTCCATATTGTTCCAATTTTAACGGATGCCCCAAAGCACTACCTTGGTAAATGTTGGTATGACGGAACTTAGACCATTTTAGTAATTTTACCACCCTGCAATGGTGCAGAAAATGGGCTATGAAAGAAAAAAAAAGAAAAAAAGGAACGAAAAAAAAAAACAAACGAAAATGGTCTATGGTAATGCCGCAACAAGTGGCTGGGAATTCAAGATTGTTTTTTTAACTTTTTTTATTTTAAAAATTATTTCAAATGTAGACTGTTCTCTGCTAAGAAGGTACGCCGGTCAGTAGGTGCAGGCTAACTTAGGCAGGGGTAAGGGGTGGTACATCCTTCCATAAAAGGAAGTAAAGTAATCAATGCCGTCCACTTGGGGAGGAGCGTGTGTGTGTGACTATTGTATTCATCTTTGACTTGCCGGGGGAATAGGAACCGGACTGTTGCTCCCCAGAATGGCAGGAGCCAACACCGAGAGGTTCTGCTGTTCTCAAAAAAAAAAAAAAAAAAAAAAAAAAA